AGAATCTACAGGAGTTCACAGAGGGGTGAACAGAAAAAACACTTGTGAGCTTCAGAAACGGTGACACTGAAAACTAGAGATGGAAATAGTAGTAATAGTAGTGATTTTCAAACTGCAAATGCAAAAGATACAGACTGCAACAGATGCAAAATGACTCAGGCCTCATAAATTGCATGAAATTTCCTGGACTTTGTATTTTTAAAACAACTGTGGTTGTGGGGGGGTGTTATCATCACAATTTCTATGAAAATTTGGTTTATGTTCCAATAAGAATGAAATAAAATAAACTCTCATTTTTCATCTATGTTCAGTGACCAAAAAAAGGATAAAATAGTGTGGGGTGAGAATTATTCCAGTTCATCAGATGTCAGTATTTTAGTATTTCAGGGGTTGGCTAGCCTTGTGTACATGTTGCCCAATGTGTGGGCTGTGTTCTAGGTTTCAACAATTGTAAAGTCAGCTTTATCTTTTCACTAATACATGCAGGTCTCTAATGGGTCTGTAACATGTGACAATAGGTGAGTAGCATTATTTCAAAAGGGATGAAATGAGGATACCTCACCAGGTGCCTTTGAAGCTTCAAAACTGAATACTAATGGTATACATCCATCTATCCATTACCTTATTATACTTATCCCTTGCAGAATCACAACTGTTGTAACAGACTGTGTAGGATATCTCATGATGAGTAAACTGAACTCCATGTGAAAAATAGGTGGATTGCCCCTTTAACAAAGGGACAGCAAAATGTCTTCCAAAAATGTAATGTAAATGTGTTTCACCACCTTACAAATATTTTTTTTCTAGCTGTAAGCAGGTCCTCTATTTCCTGGAAATCAATTATTTTAATATATGCTAATGCTACAAATGTTTTCTGTTTTCTCGTGTGAACAAACTACATACTGGTTAGTTTTAGTATTAATACCTTTATTACTAAGATTCTCAGAGTAAGTCTGTGAAGTGCATCCTGGGAAATTGAGGAAGTAAAATAAGTAAAAGGTCAGGGATAGTGAGTAAAACACACTAGTCATCATTGCCTGAGATTTAAAAGTTTTTTGCCAAGATTTTAGTATATAGTATGTTTTGTTTTAAGTATTGTACTTACTACATTTGGCTACATTTTAAATTACATTTGTTAACTTAAAATGTAGCGAAGTATGCATGATGGATCATGTGGAAAATCAGGAGCGTTGAAGCCCGATGAAGCCCGACACTCCTGATATTACACATTATCCATGATGATGCGGAAAAATAAAAATTAATGGCAAAAATTGAATGTCATGTCTCCCCTGGCTGCAGGTAGCCCTACCACAGGTGGTTGAAAAGAAGTTTTCATAGTTTGTTAAGAGGTTTTGCTCAAATTAGCCAAAAAGACATCGGGGCATGACATTACTGATGTTGTTTAGCACTAGCAACCTGCTGGTAACTAGTTAATTATTATAACTATAAATTAATCATGCTAACGCCTATGATGGGCTATTAAAATGACTACCTGTTAGGGATATGACTTCATATCATATGCCCATTTTCATGGGAAAATCATTCTCAAAACTATGCAATAACATAAAAGATCTCTAACATTGTTCTGTGCCACTTCTTTGGCAAAGTCAAACAAACTAAAACTGAAAGCGCAATTTGTGCCCTTATCCAATTGCAAAAGACTGCGATTTAATTAAATAAGTATAAATAAGATATAAAATCAGTATAAATAAGTTCTTTAAGGAGGTTAAAAAGTAGCATGTACTATGAGTAAATTTTAAATGAGCTACTTTTACTTCTACTTGAGTATATTTTTATACCAGTAAGTTTACTTAACTTACTTTTTACTTAAGTAAAAGTTCATCAAAGTAATCGTACGTTTATTTTAGTACTCTTTCCACCTCTGGTGTATAGCACGATAGTGATTCTACTGGAATCACATGGAGGATTTTGATGTGTTTGTGAGTTGTGGACCAACTATAAATCAAAGAAAAAGGTTAAATCACTGTGCTGTATGTATTGTGTGTGACTGTGTGCATAGAGCTCTTTCTAGAAGAGAGAACAGGAGAGACGAAGAACAATGCAACAGAGGTTCTGAGTTGGAGGGGTGACAGAAGCAGAAGACAGGAATACAATTTGAGACGAGAGGCATCAAGGAGTGAAAGTGAACATGAAATGAGAGCAGGAGTGTTGAAAGGAGGATGTTTAGCAGGGAGGACAGGAGGAAGAATAGTAGAACAGAACAAAGGAGGAGGATGACAGATGAGTAGGGGTTAAGAGTGATAAAATTGAAGAAAAGTGTTTCTAAGAAAGGATTCGAAATTATAAGAGGAAGAAAATAAGTGAAGAGAGAATAAGAAAGATGATTATTTTAAGGACAAAAAAGAGTGAATAATTAACTTAATGGAGAAAGGCAAATGAGATAAGAGCAAAGGATGGACATAAGGAGGAGAGGAAGGGAGGTCAAAAGAAGAGTGGGAGCAGAAGGGAGGAGGAGAGGGGCTGCTGGATGAGTGGCTGGTGAACTGACGTGACGTCTATGGGCCATGAATCAAAGCGACAACAGGAAGCCTTTGAGCATAAAGAGCAGCATAGAGTATGTTTCTGTGCTACATGCGTATGTGCATGTGTGCAGTCACAGGTGTGGATATGTACTTGTGTCCTATAAAGGAGCCGATGCCTGAGCGGCTTTGAAAAGGCCGACTCTGCGCTGTCACTTTGTTCTTCCAACAAAATGATGATAATAGCCCTCCTTAGACAGACAGACGCGCGCACACACACACTCTGACTCGCTCACCTGTCTATATCATTTGGGGTCTCGCTGTGATGTGGGTCTCCATGGAAATGGCAACAACTTAGTGTTGGCTGATGTATAACGACAGTGAGCATTGCACCTGAGGTGAGAGAGAGGGAGAGAGGGGGGAGGGAAAGAAAAACAGAGACCAGGAGACCTTAGAAAGGAGAAGAAAAAGTGACGTTTCAGATTGCAACCAACTGATAATTCTTCCCCTCACAATCCAGTTCCAAGCATGTAGATATAAAGGGCTCATTCCAAGGTAATAAAAACACAACAGTCCTTTTTATTTTATTATTATGCTACTTATGAATATTATATTCCATTTCTGACAGTATTTCTGCAAATATCCCCCTAAATCTTACACACCGGTCTTAAAAAGCTCTCCAGCTTTCTAGTTTTGACTGATTCTAAGTTTGTTGCAAACCTCTTAGTGTCAGCCTTCCTGGAGAACATACTAAATCCAGCAACATACAGGAAATTAATATCCTACAACATTTGCAAATAAATCTAATTATTATGTAAAAAAATTATGTAAAACAACAGTAATTCAGCCTACAACTTTTACATTAAGCCATCAATTCCTATAAAAGCTGTATATTCGCAATGCTTAGGTGCATGATGCCAAAAAAGTTAGACTTTAATAAGAGCAAATAATGTGTGTTCGTTTTGGGCCAGTAAGCTTTAAGCGATGACCCAGAAGTTGTAATTACACAGTTTGGCCAAAATTGGCTTCAGGTTGTGCATCATGTGGTGTCGTAATAATCGAAAAATGATTTCCTATCTGGGAAAATTCACGTGAACATGGCTGACAGCTCGGTTGATGGTTAGAAACGTTTAATGGTGCGAAATCACGTATTGCTTGTACATATTTGCAATATGGTATTAGGTTATAGCGGTTAGTTTGCTGTCCATGTAGACTGAAGTAGATTAATTAGGAAAGTTATTTATTAGCAGTATTTGCAGTACAAGCAATATTTTAGTGGTTTCAGGTAATATAGTGTTGCAGTAACAACAAAAAATAACTGTAATAGAAAGCTTCAAACTGTGTCAGCATAGTTGGATGACAATAATAATTCTAATCCAACACATTTTTATAGTATTATATATATATATAGTATGTTATTTCCACATTCCGACTTACTAACACACCGAAGTTGGAAGAACAACTTCCCAACTCAGGAAATGGGACTATTCGAGGAGCACATGAAGCACCAAAAGCCTGGGAGGCTTGCCCAAATCTCCAACCAAACTGTTGGCCATCATTTGGTGTCCTTACATGTGTATATGGGTGCGGCGGATAGCGCTGTGGCCTCACAGCAAGAAGGTCGCGGTTTCAAACCCGGTTGCCCTGGCCATTCTGTGTGGAGTTTGCATGTTCTCCCCGTGTCTGCATGGGTTCTCTCTGGGTGCTCCGGCTTCCTCCCACCGTACAAAGACATGCAGCCTAGGTTGATTGTTGACCCTAAATTGTCCTTAGGTGTGAGTGTGACTGGTTGTTTGTCTATGTGTGGCCCTGCGATGGACTGGCGACCTGTCCAGGGTGTACCCCGCCTTGCGCCCGAAGTCAGCTGGGATTGGCTCCAGCCCATTGTGACCCTGTACACAGGATAAGCGGTTGATGATGGATGGACATGTGTATGTGTTCATTACCTAAGTTTATTCCACTACTTAATGCTCAATGCGTGTCACTCCTGCCTGAGCATCTGAATACCTAATCACTGTTACTGTGTTATTGTTTGAAAATCATGGAATTCATATCACTGAATTTAATTAAATTCATGTTTGTTAATGTCAAGTTACAAATTCAGATACAAAATTAAAATACCCAATAATCAGGAGCGATATTCAAATTGCTCAGATTTCATAAGCTCGATTCATATGTAAAAAAAAATTATGAAAAATATCTGATTTCTCAAATTGGCTCTGTCAAGTGTAGACACTAATGTTCAAGATGCAAGCATAAACAATTGAGCTTGATTGGTTTCAAAGTAAAATAAAACAAGTATAATATTTGCCTGCTTTAAATAAAACAATATTTAAATGTCAACATTATGTATTCCATAATCTCATAAGATTCAGATATTAATGGCTTCTATAGTCTACTTCAGAAAAAGAAAAAATTTGTATGTTTAAAATAGTTTTTCCAACTAAATGAAATACTTCGCTAATGCTGAATTTAACACATAATGGCTGTCATCCTAAAATTTTTCTTTCCATTTTGCAGGTAATGAACCATCGCCGTTGGGCACGGTGGAGAGCTACAACCCGGTGAAGCAGCGCTGGGAGTATGTGGCACCCATGCCCACTGCACGCTGCTCCTCTGCTCTCCTGCAGACAGCCAGCATGCTCTTTGTCATTGGCGGAGTTGCCCAGGGACCCAGTAATTCTGTGGAAGCTCTCTGCTTACCAGAAACTGTGTGACACATGCAGACACACTAACACACACAGAGGAATAAATACAACCCAGGGTTGATATTTTATTCATGTATGTGTATAGACAGACGAAAACACATGAATTGGATCCACAGATCGCACTTAGATACTTTTCTACCTTCATGTCCAACTGATGGATTCCTCTTGAACACTGGGATGTAAAAAACTCTTTTTCACATTCAACAAGCATTTTCAAATGGGGGCTGCAGAAACAATTTGTGACAGAGCTGGACGAATTTGAGAGGACATTCAAGCCGACTGCTGTGACTGGCAAGGACAGAAATCTGACAGCTTTTCTACACTGGGGAAATCAGAGTAGGACAAAAAAAGAGCAAAAAACAGACACGCACATAGTGTCTGAAGAAACAACGCGCCTTTGAACTGTTGAGTATTTTTCAGAATAAAAGCAGGGTACTTTTATGGATATTAAAGGAACATAGGGCCATATCTGTTCTCTGCAGCAGCTTTGCTCTCCCCTGCTGCTGCGACAGCAAGCTCTACACTTTTCTATGACCTTAGAAACAACACTTAGTTGAGACAGTGACATTCTGGGAATGTGAATGTCTGTTTTGGTTCTTCTCTTTTTGTTGTAGTGTTGTACATGTATGAAAGTTAGCACTGCTAGCAACTGCTATCACAGTGTCAACAACAGTGGCCCTTAACATGCGCTCACACTGCAAGCAACTCAAGCAACTGCTAGTCAGAAGCCCATCCATTTTTAACGACCAGTGAAATGTTGGCAGATGTTGACCACAGTCACTGTGTTTCCTTTATTTGTAGTTACAGAAAAGATGACTGTGGTTGAACTTGTCAGCACCTGGCTTTGCTACGTATCCATCCACCTTTGCTACAACATTAGCAACACAGATGAATCACCAAGCTCAATCACTCCTTTGTTCTATAGTACAGGGCTGTAGTTGCTTGTGGACTGAATGCAGATTTACTCATTCCTGCCGCACTGAAGCATCCAGACTGATAAAACATAATTTGACTGTCAGCTTCCTGACATATTATATTCCCCCTGCATTTTATGATTAATAGCAGTACATTGTTTTCTTTTCCTTAACCTAATACCAGCCAGAAGATGAATAAAATGGGAAGAGCATCTGAAGGTGATGATACCTGGGCAACATTTTGAAGCAACTTTGTTAGGTTTTAGCAAGGATGATCATTTTTGAAATAGGATGAAATCATACCGTATGTATGGATTGCAGATTATGGTAACATTGATTCACTTTTCCCAGGAATATAATTTTTGGTAGAGTAGCAAAAGGGATTTTCCTGTTTTGGTCTAACCCCTTTGAAGTGTTTGGTATCGTTATCATAGTTGCTGTCTATTTACATAGATGACAAGAGTTGTCTATTTAAAGGAATTCTTAACCAAAAATCTGTATTTTGAGTATACAATAGTAAATACCTGTAGGCTCAAAGGTTTGTAACTTGCTGCTGTACTTTGCTCAGGAATGGAGCTGTACTGGGTGGTGGTTAGCTCAGTTTGTAGAGCGGGTGCCCCATGTTTAAGACTAAGTTCTTACTGAAGGTTTGAATCTGGCCTGAGGCCCTTAATCCCTTTCCCTCATTTCCAGACTCTATCCACTGTCCAATCAAAAAAAGGCTAAAATGCTTTACAGGAGACCTATTATGCTTTTCTGCCAGACGGAGTCAGTGGCTGTTTCTCAATACCGAGTTCGCCAAGTTTGGACTTCTGTACTTTAAAGCTTGGACTTGGCAAGTTCGGCTTGGGAGTACAAACTTCCAGGAGCGGGAGCACGCAGTCAGTCATTCAGCAATTGGAACAGCAGCGGACTTGATGACGGCCAGACCCGTTAGCGGGCGGGACCTCACATCTCCGATAACATCCTAGCAATTTTTTAAATGCTCTGTCTTGAGAAATCAACCACATATGTGTAGATTAAACAACTATATTCCCGCATTAAAAACTCTTAAAACTACTATATGTGACACAAGAACAGCAGTATTATATGTTACAGTTCTGAGTTTTCTCGTCCGACATTTCCGCTTTTTGGCAGGGAAATGCATCCTGGGATATCTGGCTACCCAAAGTCCACACAAGTCACCACCGATGCAGGCTCGGTAAAACGGGCGGCGCAAGAACACATCCGGGTATTTGACTGTACTTGGCTTGATGCGGACTTTTGAATTGGAACAGTACTTTGGCTGTGACTGATGACGTTTCACGTTTCAAGAACAGAGTAGTAGAAGTACAGAAAAGAACACAGATTGAGAAACAGCCAGTGTTCCGTATGGTCATGTGCTCCCATACTAAGGGCAGGGCCTGTTCCGCCCAGCAACAACAACAGCCTGGTTCAGGTCTTGGCCAATCAGAAGACAGTGGGCTTTGAGAGGGGGGCCTTAAAGAGACAGGAGAATCTACAGCTTGTTTCAGACAAAGGCTGAAATGAAGCCCTACATGAAGAATCAGTATAAGAAAAAATCATGCAAAAGCTGCCAAACAGGAGTCACATATAGTACTGGCAGAAAAGCAGTATAATAGGTCTCCTTTAAAGAAAGGAATGGAGCTGTAGTTGGCTTGCAAAGAAAACAATATAAGATTTCCATATAAACCTCTAATTCAATCCTGCAGCATAGTCCACTTTTCCACTACTGGTGTGCATGTTGAGGATGTTCCAAACAAGTACAGGCACAGTATAGGACTGGCTCTAACTGAGGTCTGATGCTTTCATGACAGTGCTTCATTGATTCGTATGCAAAAGGTGTCATTGTCTAGCTTTTTTTTTTGCCTTCTTTTTCCAAGATATGGTCGAACACTGTTCCTGGGGCAATTGTAATAATTATAATCACTACCAGGTGAGGTTGAAAGGAGAAGTATGATTTTTCCAAAACCTGAAACAAATCCAGAAAAATGTAGGCTGTTGACATTGTTCCAAATGTAATGTTAGTTAGCTAACGCAAGCTAACTTCCTACTGAATGTAACGTTATAAATCCCTGCTTTTTGATGATTGTATTAGTGAATAGAGACCTACCGAGCTGTACAGGAACAGAGTTGATCCTTAATATCGTTGTCCTTTGTCTCAATTGTCAGGTGATGCAGTGGTTCACTTTTACTCTGTGATTGGTAGTCTTTAGCTTCTGCTTTAGCTTTCACGTCAGTTTGACAGCCTGAAAATAACCTTCAAATGCACAATGCAAACCTTTCTGTCTCCTTTCTGAGATTGCTGTTTTTGTTGTTCCAAAAATTTTACAATATTTCTTCAGGGAAAGCAGTTATAAACAGTCATTACAATAATACAATTTCAAGTTTCTTTTAATTCACCAGAGTTTATTTGACGACTAGGTGATTAAAGGTAAGGCGTGCTACAAAATTCAATACATTCAATACAAGAATTCCGTGAGACACACAGTAGTAAAGAAACTTGAAAATTAATTAAATTGGTTTGTCAGATATGATTGGATAATTCTGAGTAAGGGTCTCTTTTACCACTGTATTAGACAAAAGGTTGGGATACAAACCTGTACTTTTATTGCACGGTTTCATTACTTAAAGATGACAATCATCTGCTACATCCAAATTATTTGAAATAACTGAATAATTATTGAAGGTACATGGGAAGTAGAATGCTAACGATTTTAACCACTATCTTCCAATACAGGGAACTCTCTTTGAGAGACTTATATTCATATTCATACATACAGAGAGGAGATAGAGAAAATACTGTTAAGTACTGCACAGGAAGAAAGCGCTATCTCTAGCCCCAAAATATTGTGTCTCACACAAAGACACACGTGCGCGCACACATACACACACACACACACACACACACACACACTCACATCCTTTGCACTGCCTTGCCCCATTTCATATATTTTTCTGGTCTGCACCCTGGCAGACCTTGTTAACAGAGCTAGACATCTATTGCTGTGGGAGAGCACTGAAACTCCATGAGCTCAGATGAGATGCCAGTTGTCAGTTGGTTATTTCTGGTGCTGCATTGTGTGCACCTAATTGAGTGTGTTAGGTACAAGCCATACACTCATCACATAAAATGTACGCATGCACACACAAACACAGACACTCCTGCTTGTATGCAGAGCCAAGTTCAGAGTGCATGCCTGCAAGAGTGCAGTCTCAGTCTCATTCGCTCACTCACACAGTTCTATATGGCAACAATCACAAAAGCTTGGAGAGAATACAGAGATCATTAAACAGCTTTGCCCTCTACTCCATCCAACACTGATTAGCCTACTTGAATCAACTGCAGTTTGTGAGAGTGTGTGTGTGTGTGAGAGAGCGTGTAAATTTTTGTCGTAGATGTATTTGTATTAGAGGATACGGTTTGGCAATGTGAGGTTTGCATGTAACTTGCTCATGCAGCACATACACCTAAAAAGTAAAAAGGTTATAATAAGAAGTAATAATTGGCCATGTGTTGCCATTTAGTTTTTTTACAGATACCTCTCTTCCAGTTGACTATTTGGGGTTAATTGGCAACAAGGCTGACCTTACCCCACTGGATCTTAAAGCAGATTTTTTTTGCCACTTGAGGGCAGCAGCTGCAAACACAACACTGCTGCTCCACAACAGGAGCAACTTTAGCATTCTTTTGGAGTTGTTTTCTGGCCACTTTGTGGTCTCTACTAGCTCCTGATGAAAATATCTGGCTTATTAGCTACGAAAATTCTCCACTATATTCACCAGCTTACTGTGTCTGTCTGCTGTATGGTGTTGGACAGGTACTTGAAAGTAAAATAGTAAAGATGCAGGTCATAAAAGTCAAAACAATGATCTGAAAGATGATAAAATGCTGTACAGAGCTTAGGGAACTGCAGAGTTGAGTCAGGTGTGACACTACAACCGAACCCTGTTACATTTTGCATAGTAATTTGACCTATTGTTATATATATTGATATATAAAATAAAATATTAGTGCAGGTTTAAAGCTGCATTAATTGCTTTTTTGTCCACCTGTCTCAACAACAAGCTGAAAGCACATATTATCGCCTAATAACGTTATTGCAAATGTGCTAGCAAATAGTTGCCTATTTACACAGCAGACACGAGCTAGCTCTCTCTTTTGGTTGTCTGGTTTGTTATTTTGTAACGTTTCTCTCTCACTGTCTCTCTAACCCTGTCAGTGTCATTCATAAATCTATCATTTCTATTTTGATAAGAAAGACGTCTCATAAATCAGTTTTTTAGGCTCCTGATGTGAAGTACTCACTGGAGTGAAATCCCTCTGCTGCGTCTGACAGCAGGTTGAGAAATGCAGAACAAAAAGAGCAGGATGCTTCAGTACAGGTAGCAGCTAATTACATGCTACTTTTTAAACAGGCCATAAGTGGATGATGCACAAGCATTTCGAAATGTGGATGTAAAGCCAAATGTATTCTGGACTGTCCCATGACAAGAGTATTAATGTGGTTTTCATTAGCATGAGTTTCTAAGTAAATATTTTCAAACTGAGTAATGAAAAATCTGCAGAACCTGAGGCAGGGCACTTTTATAAGCAATAAGCGCCCTAAAATGATTACACAATTTTTTAATACCCTACACTATAGAGCAATGTTGACTGGCAGCAAATGCACAAGTACAAGACTCATTTTCAGGCACGTTTTTATTATCTTCAGTGAACAGACTTGCATTGCCCCAAAAAGTTGCCTTGTGTATCATTACCTCTGAAACGTGTATATACAGTATGTACCATATTGTCCAAGACACATTCAGGGCCCTGTTTTTGTGCATGGCGTGTTCTGTGCCTTGACTCACTAAAATAAGGCCCACAGACTCAGGTTCTGACAAAATAATAGGATGCATTCAGCACAGTGCAAAGATGGGGGATGAATAAACTGAAATTACAGTTTTTTTCTGTTTTCTGAATCCAATGCAGAACTGTCTTAATTTTGACAATGAAAAGCCTCTGTACTTTATTCATTTCTTTATTTATTATTTTGTGCGGGCTAACTTTAACACAGTTTCCTGGGCGACAGGGAACAGTGTCAAACCCCGCAGGTAGCATAAATGTGTTTCCCTACATTAGCATACCAATGTGGTCTTGTTGTTTTTTGTTTTCTATTTGTTCCTGTATTTGAAAAAAACTAACCCCATTGATTATTTATCAGGATTAGATATAATAGTATATTTTTGTGTTTATTGTTCATGTTTGTTCATTATTTTGTCCAGTTGTTTGTGTTGTGGAGTTGGGTTGTGAGGTGACAGATGTGTCGTGGTGTTATTCAGATCTGAGCTGGGTTCCCCAAAGTGTTTGTTGCTAGTTATATGTATCTTGTAAAGCTTAGCAGCAATTATTTTTTTAATAGAAGTATATACATACTCTGTTTTTTCTGTTTTTTTTTCACCATGTTGGTCAGATGAGATACATAAGAGTTTATTTAATACTGAGAAAGAGGATATACTGTAAAACTTCAGTTAATAGCCGAGTCCCAAATAGCTGCCTACCCCATTTACTGGCCTGGTGTGGGAACACATTTTGATAAATAAAAGCAGGCCTCGATTAAACACCTGATCTGATTTTTTCTTTGGCTGTATAAAACCTCTTAAACCCCGCTAGGTCGTCTGCTTTAGCTGAGATCGGTTAGATTCTCCACAATTCAATCGTTCAATTCATTTAACAGAAACAACAAGCCCCAAACTCTAATTCTTATAGATTTATTGGTGTAACCTACAAGGTACCAGAGATGAAAAAAAACAAAACAAAGAATTGCAGACTACTGAAGCGCTCGTTCAGTCCGAATGTGTCCGTCCCTCGATTATTTATATTCCTTTAGTCTGTAAGGGTCCACCGATCAAAACAATCAAAACCTTTCATAAAAATTAATCCAAGTTATGAATCCTGTCGTCGAAGTCCATCGCTCTCTGTCTGCTAACTTCTGCCACAATTCTGTGGCCTGGGCTATTAATCAAAGTTTTACGGTATGTAATATATGGTTCTTAAGTAGAAATGTCTATAAATGGTTGTATTTAGTATGACAAAAAGGACAGCAGATATATTCGGAACAAACACACTGGCATATTTTATTTGTATTTCGATCTGTTCAGTGGTTTATAACCTTCTGAGTTTTCAGGCAAAATTTAAAAAAACAACAACAACGAAAATTTTTTCAACACAGAATTATTTTTTTATTCTGTGATCGATCCAAGATTCTTCAAATAATCACTATCTCAAAACCCATCAGCTTGGGAACAAAGAATGCCATCTATCATTTGAAATTGAGTGAGAAGGTGAAACTAGTTTGTACAGACATTTTGGGAAACACAAACCCAGAATCCCTCTTCTCTTCTAATCTCTCTTACTGTACTGTGCTGTTTCCCTACAGTGACAATGGTAGAAACCTGGTAAACTGCTTTGTGGTCTCAGTGGATCAGTATTGCCATGTACTCTGTATGTGCTAATGTGATTTGGGAAATATACTGAACTTAATGAAATGTACTAAAGATAATAAGAAAGGAAGAACACTAAACATAAGGAATGGAGGACTCAACTTACTCAGAATGGCGTGTGTGAGGAGGTGTAAGGCATTTTCCAAAGCTTTACACTTTGTATTTTTATCCCTATTATGTGTGTAAACATTTAGCTGTAGAAACAGGTGCGTAACCCTTTTCAGTCAATTAGAGTCACCCACACACAGAAATTTCTACCACTTCAATCTATGCACTTACAGTAAATCATGCCCATACAGCGCTGACTTCAGCCTCAAGTGATAATAACAAAGACAGTACTGAGAACATATTTATTCAAACAATATAAAACAACTATAGGTAACAAATACATACAACATAAATATACTTTTTTTTTAAAAAGTTTTACATATTATATTGTTTGTTACAATCAGATCATGTTCACTAAGACAAATAAAATTATTTTTCAGTCAGACTGGCATTCTTGCTTTACAGAAATAGTGTCAGAACACATATTTCTAAACATTTAAAGGGGCACTCCACCAATTTTACACATGAGGATCAATTACTTCTCATGAGCAGTACTACTAAGTTGGTGACAATGTACTCTGTGGCTTAGGATGGCACTTGTGTGTTACAAACAGGAAGATGATGGAATGTACCAGGCAGAGAGGGTCTATTGAAAGACATTATTAAGTTGCATTTGGGGAATTGTAGGATCTAGCATTTTTGAGATCAGCACCATTTTAGGGACTAAAAGTCCAGATTTCTGCCTCTGCTGGACCAATTTTGACCACTCTATAAAATCTGACTCTGACTCTGATGCTGAGTCCCCCAGCTTTATGGCAGTAGTACCAAGCTATACAAAAATATTGTAAAAATTTGAATTGTTTGACCACATACTTATGTGCTGAACATTTGCTTAACATGCAATAAATTTTAATTTAAATACATATTTTATACAATGATAAAATTGTATCATATCATACCATTACACAAATATCTTATCACTACCTCTGAAACAGGGTGTTGTAAGATAATAGAGCCTGGAGAGACCATTTCTAATGTCCATTTTACATAATTATAGAAATTTATATTTCCTGTCAAACAATATGATTATCCTTTAACTGAATAGATTGACGTTAGGGGAAAAATGTTTATTCTTTCTTTTTGAGATTTATATGAGGAGATTGATACCAAATAAAACCATAAACTCTTGTTTGCATTTCTGGTCCTGTACAGATTAAACAAAGGAGTAGCAAGATGTTAATTTGGTCAAATTAGAGATGTTGGTAAACGGATTTTTGAGAGGGCCAGGCCAGAAGTTTCCCCCTGCTTCCAGTCTTTATGCTAAGTGTCTAGTCACCTATTATTGTTATCTGACTCTCTGAAAGAAAGTAAATGATCAAATGTCCTAAAATATCCAACCATTGCTTTAATCAACACACATTTATGAAGTTTTCTTATTTTGACTGGGGTCATACTGTAGGTGGGCCTAAGAAATATATGATCACATACAAGCCGAAACCAAGGGGAAATAGAAACTATGGCACGAGTTTCAAATACATTTTTTTTTTCATCAGTCAGATCTGACCCCAGCTGGTCAGTGTTGATTGTGCAAGGTGAGTTGCTTATTCTGCGCCACAGATGTACAAAGTTATTGTAACATAATTTCTGCTACTTGATAATCCCTCAAAGCAAGATTAGGCTACTGCCTAGGGAGGAGGAATGTTTCTTTTTCATTATCCACTCACACAGACAGAGTGAAACAAGAGGGGATATGCCGGCATTACTTTTGTTATTATAATTCTTATTATAATAACAATAGTAAACAGAATAATATTTATTGTGGTTGTTGTTGAAATAGATTAATGTGACACTGCAGTGTATTCTTCAACTTTTGGTTGGGATGAGACATACAAAAGAGAACAAAATGTGTATTAGGAAGTATTAAAGAGTTCAGGGCAAGGCAAGACTGACTACGTTTAAGCGTGGTAGGATGATGTAATGTACACATGGAAAGGCTGCCTTCCTTAACCAAAGCCTGCCAGGCACATTGGTACACCAACGATACAGTAAACGGGTTTTCAGTGTTGGGTTACAGTTTCATTAAGAGCAGGATTCAGTCAGTCCTCTTAACAGCTCACTTTGGTTAATAACTTGATAATGAGAGTTTACGTAGGGTTTCATTTTCCATCTCATTAATAGGAATAATAATGCCTTGTTTACGCCCCAAACAAAGAGCATAAAACTTGTCAACATTTATTCAGATTACATGCTTTGGTGCAAGTAGATCCACATCAGATCACTTAATTTAGCATTTATGTAATATATTGAAGTCTTGATTTGGCCAGAGGTCAGTCAGGGTGATGACATATTGTACATGTAGCCAGCATCAACATGGCTGGCAGGCTTTGGTTATCAAACTGAGTCGTGACTGTGACTCCAGTGCAGTAGTTCAGTGCCTATACTAAATGTGAGGTAGTGCCTCAACTATGAACCATGTTCTATAATAAACTATTTTGACTTGCCGTCTGATATTGTATGTCCTGTGTACTCTTTTTACTCCTGTCTGACTCCAGCACCTTCTCTTGGGGGAAAAATGGAAAAAGAGAAAGAGCAGAGATAATGACAGGAAAGAGCACACCGGCATCTATTTCCATGTGCCTGTTTCTATGCCTATCTCTTAAGAGGTGTGTGGGGGCTGCCATCTGAAGAATGTCACCTGATCCATAATGGATGAAGCTGACATCAAAACCCACTTCAAACGCAGTGCATGAATGGAGTGCTCCTATAGAAAGAGACAATTAGAATGAGCATGTCTTTTCTCGCAGTGGTAAGTGGTTGTATGACTTTATGGTCAGCTTCTTCTCCAAATGAATGTCCTTCTTCACTCTCCAAAGGAACAGTCTGTCACACAGAATACATGACATATTTTATACAAGCTGCAGTCCTCAGGCAATAGTCATAACACTATGATGTTATGAGTGAGATGATGCTTTCAGAGGTTTTCCTACATCTTTAGATCACAAAGCTCTTTACTTGTTGAGTAATTGGCCACAAATGAACTTCAGCCTCTGAATGTTTATAATTTTGGGTTGAGCATCACTTTGTTGTTCTAATTGAAGTTTGACTGCAGATACATTATATGGAAGCAAAAAACAGAGTTTGTGAAGAGTAAAATTGTCAAAACAGGTAGATGCGAAGAGGCATTAATTGACTGCTCACTTTAGCCCTGTCTATTCTCACCTGGCACATAATGCACAATGATAATGTTGCCATATTTACAATTCAAAATGTTTCTGTAATTTTTTAAACCATGGATACTTTATGTCAAGATACTTTGTCTAATTTTGATGGCTGAAATGGCATCTGTCGCTGTGAGACTTTGACAGTTAGCTAGCTGATGCTAAGGCTAGTGACAGCCAGAAGAGACACAAGACAGTCGTTGCCGTAAGTGCTGCCCTAGAAGGCTGTTTGAAACCAATGTTCATAGAGATGCCTTCACTCGAAAGTTATGCCCTCTGAGGCACCTGTCTATTACGTTAGTGAGGTAGCGAGGCAAGAGCCTTTATCAACTGTAGCTGGTAGCTAAACTAATGACTTGGTTTAAAAAGCTGCCTCCTTTTTGATGTTTTCATTTGACTTGTTTTAAAATGAAAATGTTGTAAATGGGAACTTAGATACGCACTTAATGGCTACATGATATAGTGCTCTAAGATTGAAGAGGCTAAAGCTGTATGTCCAAGGCAAAAATACATTCTCTCCAGTTGGCAATCCATGTAGAAGTACAACAATACATGCTAGTTACTCCTAGTATTGCAGTACAAGTGTTGCCTGAAGCCTACAGCCATACAGATATATAACCATATTAAAAATAAAAGAAAGGCATAGCCAAGTATTTCTGCAAATATAAAATTGTAAGCTACCTTGAACAACCACTTTTTTCCCTGAAAGATCAAAATGAGTATAACGATTAGAATAATATTAAATAAACGTAGATTAATTTAGACATTTATTAATTTTTTGGCACACGTTAACTCAAGTCAGATGAAAAATTGGGCTGTAGAGTGAGAGGGACATAAATGATCAATTATAATTAGTAAT